TATCGCTTTGGGCGGCAACAGCTGGTGGAGTTATGTGGCCATGCTAGTGCTGTGGCTGTGACCAAGGTACCTAACCCGTGACCCTTCACCTTGACCTCAGCCAGACGGCCAGCCCACCAAAGCCAGTGCCTAGCTGCATGACCCTCATGGCCAGGATGGCTCAGCCCTCAAGAAGCTCCTCTTTGGTCGGGGCCACCCCAGTCTATCACTCAGATGGGGAAACTGAGGCCCAGAGAGGCTCATCACTGGCCAGGCCAGGAAGGGACCCAAGACCCAGGGTGTCAATGAGGGTCAGAGCAGAGACTGAGGCAGCTGCTGGGATAGGTCTGGGGCCCTTGAGGTGTAGACATGACCGCCTGCCTCTGCAACTTCCTGGGTCTTGGGTATGGAGCACCTCCAAACAACCCTGTGCCACAGGTGGGCAAACAGGCCCAGAGGTGGGGAGGGGCCTGGGCAGGGTGTTGGGGGGTAGAAAGCATGGCTGTGTCTGGTTCTTGGCCAAACCCCGCCCCACCACCTTGAGATGTCTGCAGGGAACTAGAGAAGAACGGAGACCATGATACCACCACCTGGGGCCTTGCCCCAAGCTGCCTCTGAACAAAGGTAGTAAACTGACACTGGCTAATAAACATAAACTTAGAAAAGTGCCCAATAGAGCAGGGATCCAGCCTGCAAATCTCCGTTTCTTCCCCTTCTTCCCGTCCTTATTACCACTGTATACTTATTAAACTTAGTATTTTTTATGTGGACTCAATTTTATTTTTTTACTTAAATGTTCTTATTTCCAAAAGAAACCTGAGTGAGGTGCCCAAAAGAGAAGGATATGGTGAAAATCTAAGCCAGGGTAGTAAACCCTTGCTCGGCCCTTGGTGACCGACTGTCCAGTTTTTGCCCTGAAATCCCCAAGTCCAGCTGGAAGCCCCTTGGTTCCAGTCAGCCAATGTCACCCTTCATGACTCCAGATGTGGTGAGGTGGGTCGCGGGCAGGTCAGGGTCAGTCAGGACCTCACTGATGCCTTGGGGAGGAGACTCGGAGACGCAACAACTTCCTCTCTGTGAGGTTGGAGGTTAGAGTAGGGCAGGCCCTGTGTAGCCAGGGAGAGGCTCCAAGGGCCTGTCAGAGACATTGTCACTTCTATTTAATAGAGGCAAACGGAGTCTGGGAGAGGAGAGAGGGCTCAGCAAAGATGGACTCAGGGTCGGCAGGTGGAGACTTGAACACCATGCTTAGCTCCTGTGTATTAAAGAGAGAACAAGTGCAGGCCGAAGAGACAGAGTGTGAGAGAGACAGACCAAGGCAAAGAGACAAAGACAGATGAGATGGAGAGAGAGAGATACAGAGGGACGGGGGTAAAGACAGAAGCCAGTGGAGAGGGCCAGAGAGAGACAGGGCATGGCAGGTTGGAAAAATACCTCCCCCCACCAACTTTGGGGCCTCTGGGAGTGCCTGAGGCCTGGAAAATGGGCGCGGGAGGGGCAGCCACTACAGTGGAAAAAGGTGGAAGAATGTCTGCAACTTAGGCCGAGGATAAACAAACCACAGTCCGGGCTCCAGCGGTGGCAGGAGGCAGCTTTCCTGTTCTGTCTTGGCAGAGACTGAGGCAAGGATTCTGCATCTCTAAGGGGTAAACTGAGGCCCCAAGAGGCCCCACCTCTCACCCAGAATGCCCCTCCTTTTGTCCTATTGCCTTCAAGCCCAAGCCCCATCCCTTCCCCAACCTGGGCCTCAGTTTCCCAACCTGAGCAAAGAAGAATTCCAAGCGCCATGCCTTTGTCTTTGCTGTGCCCCCTACAGGTGTTCCCCTTGCCTGCTCTCTCCCGGAAGCAGAGGACAGTGCTGGTCGTTTGTGGCCCAGAGCAGAATGGGGCGGTGGGGCTGGTCTGTGCCCGGCACCTCCGGGTGTTTGTAAGTAGTGAGGGCCCCCTTGATCTCCAAGGGTCAGGCCCCGCCTGTCCCTGCAGAAGTCGCTTCTTTCTCTTTGTAGTGTCCCAGCAGAACATTGAGACTGGACAAGTCACAGAGTACGCTCAGTGCTTGCCCTGTGCAGGGTCTGCTTCCTGGGACCAGGTCTGGAGGCTTGGCAGGGCCAAGTAGGAGCTTGGGCAGCCTCCACGCTGACCGCTTCCTGCCCCCCTCCCAGGAGTACGAACCAACCATCTTCTACCCCACACGCTCACTGGATCCCCTGCACCAGGACCTGACCACCCAGTGTGAGAAGATGGATATCCCTTTCCTGTCCTATCTGCCCGCAGAGGTCAGCACTCCTCAGCAGCCGAGGGGCAGGTGGGGATGGTGCCCCAAGGCCGCCCCTTACCCTGCCTGCCCTCCCAGGTCCAGCTCATCAATGATGCCTATGGTCTGGTGGTGGATGCCGTGCTGGGCCCTGGCGTGGAGCCCCGTGAAGTCGGGGGCCCCTGCACACGTGCGCTGGCCACACTCAAGCTGCTGTCCATCCCTCTTGTGAGCCTGGACGTTCCCTCAGGCATGCCAGGCGGACGGGGGCGCGTCAGGGCTGGGGAGACCTGGGGGCTCCGTGTGCTCCAGCTTCTGTTACCCTGGCTTATCTGCCCAATCCAAGCCTCAGTTTCCCCAGCATGGATGGATGTGCACTCTGGGTATGGCAGAGGGTCACCTCCATCCTTCAGACGAGGAAGACTGAGGCTATTTCCCAGTGACCCTGCACTGTCTACCCACTACACCCAGCCCAACATGCCTGCTGCCCACCCTGGCCCAGTTACCCGGGCAGACGTGAGCTCACTGGGCAAAGGCCTCGCCTGTCCTGGCCGCCGCCTCACGCCTGGTGGAGCCATTAGGCCATGGGCAAATGGAACAAACAGCCGCTGGCCAGCCGGACCCTCTGCAGGGGGTGGCCGGATTCAGAGGGGTGTCCCTGGGCTTGAGAGACGTCAGCGCCATTCCAGGAGGGTGCTGAAGAGTGGGGTTGGGGGTGGGAGGTGACTCTGAGGAGACGGGCTGTCTGGTATGAGGGAGGAGTCTAGGGTCACAGAAGAAAGGATTACAGTCAGAGGAAGGAAGCTTATTTATATTTATATTTTTTAAATTTTGAGAGTACATTTATTAAAGCTGGGGAGAGTGAAGCAAGGAAGGACTTAAGACAGACGAAGCAACAGGAGAGAGTCTAGGCTGGGCTGCTTTGGTTCACTAAGTCAGAGAAAGGGGCCTTGGAGACAGGCGGGCCCCCCCCGCCCCCCGTTAGCCCGGATGAGCTGCCACAACCCATTGCTCCTCTGGTTGCAAGTCTCTTGGGGACCCTTAGAGTTTAGGAGACATGTGCCTTGGGGGTGGGGAGAAGAGGGGGAAGAGGAGGGCACAGGTGTGTTCCTGGGAGGGGGCCCACCAGAAGGAGGCTTTTAGTTAGTGGTTCCAGACTCCAGTCAAGCAGGGGAGAAGGCAAGGTCCCCAGTCAGAAGGTGGGGTGCTGTTGGCAGAGGCTATGACGCGATGAGTGAGGTGGTGGGGTCCTGTGAAAAGGCAGGATCTAGCATGAGGGTGAAGGCAGTGATGTCAGATCAGAGGACAGTATCAGTCGGAGTGGGGAGGATGGATGCTCAAGTTGGGTGGGGAAGGGGGCACTGGCCGTCAGAGGCAAGAACCTGAGGCAAGAAGACAGGCCGCATAGGACAGAGCTGCCTGAGGGTGGAGGCCGGTCTGTTCTAGTGGGGCTCTGGGCAGAGAGGAAGCTGCCTGGGAAGTCTGGGTGGACAGAGGTTCTCGTCTAAGTGGGGAAGCTCAGGATTGATGGGGAGGGAGGCAGGCATGGAGACAGACCCCCCAAGAAGCATGGGTCTGATTAGGAAAGGGCAGCAGGTGGAATGATGTAGTCTGAAGGCAGAGGCTGAGTCAGATGGAGGAGGGAGGAAGATGTACCAGGATGGGAGGAGGGGCAGAAAAGTACGAGGGCTCTGGTAGGAAGGGCAGGGAGAAACATCTCCAAGGAGGGGAAGAGACTGGTCTGAGGGTGGAGGCTCAGTTCTTCGGCCAGGCAGGTGCGACCAAACCTCACTGTTTGAGATGGGGGGGGGGGGGGTTAGATCTGAGATCTGATGGAGAAGGGGAAGTGGGTGATGGGTGCAGGACTCTCCTCTGAGGGTGAGCAACCTTTTCAGCTCCTGATGCCCCCTTCCCTCCCCCCCTCAGGCTGGGACGCGGAGACGGGCGGCGACTCCGAGGACGGGCTGCGCCCCGACGTGCTGGTCTCACTGGCGGCGCCCAAGCGCTGCGCCGGCCGCTTCTCTGGGCGCCACCACTTCGTGGCTGGCAGATTCGTGCCCGACGACGTGCGCCGAAAGTTCGCTCTGCGCCTGCCGGGGTACACGGGCACCGACTGCGTGGCGGCGCTGTGACCGCCACGGCGCCCACGCGGCTTGGACGCGCACTAATAAATAGACGTCCCAACACCTCCTGGCCTCGCCTCCTCTGTGCGCCACGGGTGGGCAGACTCGGATAGGGACTTCCCACCTGTCCCCAGGCGGCCCCAGGCGGGAGGGATGGAGGGCAGACGCAAAGTCGGACTTCCCGATGTCCTCCATAAAGGGTTGATTCAGGGACTTCCAGCCCGCTTGATGGTCTAAGGCCCTGGGGTTGAAGTTCCACCCGGAGGATTTCTGGCTGCCCAAAGCATGAAGAGTCGGGCAGTTGCAGGCCCGATTCCAAGAAGCACTTTCTCACAGGCAGCTTGGGACCCTACGTGGAGAATAAAGGGTGGGTGGAGGGAAGGACTTCCAGCAGCCGGCAACAGGGGGATGCAAGCCAGCCTGAAGCTGGACGAACTGAACAGGGGTGACCCAGGTGGTTGCCCAGGCACCGAAGTCACCCAGGGCAAAGGAGCTTGGCCCGGACGGGGCGGGGCCTGGGCCGGGCGGGGCCTGCGAGCGCGTCCCGCCCCCACCCTCAGCCCCAGCAGCCTCCAGAGCAGCGGGAGTCCGACCCGAGCGCGCGGCAGAGCCCGGACCCTCCCTCGGACACACTCGGACCGGCCATGGCGTCACTGCCGCCACTGCTGTGCCTCTGTGTCGCTGCCGCGCACCTGGCGGGGGCCCGAGGTGAGGCGCCCCCAAAGCCCTAGCCTATCCCGTAGGCGCCCAAACGCCCAGCAGCAGTCCTGGCATGTAGCCCGCCTGGAGAAAGAACCAAAGGACCACTCGGTTCCTCAGTCCTGGGTCCCCTTTGCCAGCAGCTGGGGACAGGGGTAGTGAGAGGGCACCAGGGAGACGGAGCTCAGGACTGCCTGGGGCGGGAGAGACCTCTGATTTCTTCCCTCCTCTAGGAGACAGTAGGGACACCTGAAGTGTGGATATGAACTTTAGGCTTTTCTGGGTTTCTAGTGACTGCGGGGTACCTATCACATCTCAGCCCCAGAGTCTGGACCCTGGATCGGCAGTCCTGGACCCTCTCCCCTAACTCCTCCCCTTTCCCACACACACCTCCCATTCAGAAAAGAAAGTATCCTCTCTGGAACACACAAGTGGCGCTGGGAGTTGGGCCCATTTCTCAGATGAGGAGACTGAGGTTTTGAGAGGGAAGGGACTTGTCTGAGGTGGTTGGCTAGTCCAACTCTCTCAGACAACTGGAGGCCAGAGAAGTCAGGCTCAGTTCCAAAGACCTCCTGCTGGCAGCATGGTCCCAGTGCAGGGATGGAAAGCAGAGTGAGGGAAGGACTTCCAACAGGCAAATGGACAAAGGGAGTGCAGCTCAACCTGAGGGCAGAATATAACTAGGGGGAGAACTTGGTCTGGGGTAGGGTCAACAGGCTTCCAAGGCCCACGGGGTTGGGGCTGAGAGGTCTGCAGGAGGCTTCCTGGAGGAGGGAGTGCTGCAATTCTTGTGGTCATCCAGAGCTGGGTTCTGGCTTCTAAGAGCCTCAGTTTTCTCTCCTGTCAAATGGGGAGGATCATGGCAGCGTCTTACATAAAAGGTCACAGGGGTCTCCATCAGTGCTCCTTGTTCCCCCACCAACTTTTCACCCCTTCCACAGGCACCAGCCCCATTGAGGAGCCCACAGAGACCATGTGGGGTCTTGAAGGTTCATTGGTGCGCCCTGGCCTGCCCTCACCAGCCCTGGAGGACTGGGAAGGTGAGTTAGCCCAGGTCTGAGTCCTGGCTCTGCTGTGGACTGTTGTACGAGCTGGTGGGGACAAATGAGGAGGGGACACGAGCTGGGTGAAGAGTGCAGTACCATTTTGGTCCCTGGACATGACAGCCCCTGGAAGTGGTGCTCCTGTTTTAGGAGCAGGGAGCAGAGTCCAGGTTGTTTGCTGAGGAGGAAGCTGAAGATGGGTGGTGGTAGGATGCTGGGCCCGCCTGCCCAGGCCACACAGGAAAGCAGGAGTTCTGGAACTGGGTCTCCAGTTTCCAGGCCAGGAAAGTTCTTTATGATTACTCTTGAATCAGAAAAGTAGTAAACTTCTGGGGGGGGGGGGGGAGTTGATATCAGGGGCCAACTCCTTCCCACCGATGGTGGGTTCAGCCTGTGGTGGGTTCAGCCAGGCAGTGAACAAGGTCCTAGCTGGCACCAACAGGGAGCTACCAGGCAGTGGAAAGCCACAGCTGAGGCTGGTAGCAGGCCAGGCCTTTGTATCTCCTCACACCTCAGGCCTTCTGTACTTTGAGGGTGGAGATGGGTGAGACAGTGGCAAGATCTCTGTGTGCACCGATGCTCAGTTCAGGCGCTGGGCAACAGATCTAGGGCTGGTTAAGGGAAGGTCAACCTCCTGGTCACCCTTTCACAGCTCCTTCTGCCCTTGAGGGCTCCGGATCCGGGCCTGGTCTGGGCGGGCAGAGTTAGCCTTCAGTCATTGGGGTGTGTGTGGGGGTGGAAGTCCCCATCCCCTGGACGGCATATAAAGCCCGCATACCACGCAGATGGGGCCCGGGTCTAAGCGCTTATGTTTCCCATAGAGGCCAGCGAGTGGACGTCCTGGTTCAATGTGGACCATCCGGGCGGCGACGGCGACTTCGAGAGCCTGGCTGCAATCCGCTTCTATTACGGGCCGGCGCGCGTGTGCCAGCAGCCGCTGGCACTGGAGGCTCGCACCACTGACTGGGCCCTGCCGTCCACCGTCGGCGAGCGTGTGCACTTGAACCCAACGCGTGGTTTCTGGTGCCTCAACCGGGAGCAGCCGCGCGGCCGCCGCTGCTCCAACTACCACGTGCGCTTCCGCTGCCCTCTGGGTGAGGGCGGGGCCCGGGGGCTGTGCCCGCAGGGGCGAGGGCCAAGGGGCGGGGCAGGACCCGAAAGGGCGGTGCTGGGGAGGACAAGGGGTCTTGTGGATTTGGGCGTGGCTAGGGAGAGGCGGGGAGTCCATTAGTAACTTGGCCCTGGAAAAGGGCAGGATCGGATAGGGGCGGGGCTTTGGTAGAAAGAGGCTTGGAATAACTGGGGTCCTAAGTGGTGGGCAGAAAGGGACCCCTGGGGGCGCTACTCTCTCTGTCGCAGCCCTCATTTGTTCATCTGTAACTGCTCCATTCCGTGGGGTTGTGTTTTGAGCCCAAAATGTGTGCGAGACGTAGGTAGACCAGCCGGCTCACCTCAGGGAGCTTTTGGGGAAGCCGGGAGGTAGTTCAACTGAACCTTTGACCAGTGCGCCTAGGGAAGTGATGGTGGAAGCGGTGTGCAGGACTTCTGTCTGGCGTACCTGCCCTTGGATGCACATGGCAGAGGCCTGTCTCACATTGTCACCATATTTCTGAGGAGCAGCCCCTAGGGTGGGTGGCTGCCTGACCCTCCCCACCCACCCTCTCCGCAGAGGCCGTGTGGGGTGCGTGGGGCCCGTGGGGTCCCTGTTCAGGGAGCTGCGGCCCAGGTCGTCGTTTGCGCCGCCGCCACTGCCCAAGCCCCAATGGGGATACTTGTCCTGGTCGTCCCCTGGAGGCGCAGAAGTGTGTGCGACCTCACTGTCCAGGTAGGAGAGGCGGGGCCTGAATTTCTGGAGTGGGGCCAGTTGAGGGATGAACCTGCAAGGGAGGGGCTCCTAGGGTGGACCCCCCGATGGGCGGGGCCTGAAGGAAAGAGGCGGGGCCTGGGTGCCCGGACAGGGCCTTGAGGCCCTGAACTTGCTTCACAGGGAAATAGGCCCTTCCTGTTCCTATTGGCTCCCCTCCTTTCGGGGACCATTGGTGACTGTGTACATTTGGATGGGTAGAAGCTCCGGGGATCGCGTTCAGCAAAAGCAGATCTGAGGGGGGCGCTTCCCTCATGTGCATGGTCGAGTGTGGGGATGTCCAGGTGACCACTGACACACACACAGAAGTGACTCACACTATTGGGGTTTACACACGCGGCACTTGCAGCCCCCGCCTGTCCCCTGCGTCCATGTGGGCACGCACTTACACCCTGGCAGACACGATACCCAGGCCCTCCCAGGGCCAGACACCAGGCCAGCCAGGAGGCCAGTGGAAATTCCGATCCTGCCCCTGGGCTCCACAAACACGGTCTGGAGACTGCCGGCAGAGCCCGCGGCCGGGTGGGGGAACACGGTGGCCAATGGGGTGGTGGGGTCCCCACCCTACCCAGCCTGGCTCTGCCCTCCCTGTGGCGCCTCTGCCCTGAAGTTTCCAGTGGAATTTTCCATTTTATGGAGAAACCTCGGGGTTGGGAGGGGAGGGAGATGTTCTGGGTCCAGGACCCAGCCCCTGCCTGGACATTTTCTTTTATGCTGGAAGGAGCCTCTCGGTCCTGTGAGAGTCGCCTCCCTTGTCCCCTCCTCCTGGGCATCTTCCTCACCCCTCTGGACCTCAGGTCCCTCCCCCAGCCCAGCCCTGACCACTCAGCCCCCTGTTCCCCTCACACTAGGGGCTGCTCCAAGAACGGATCTGCCCAGGACCTTTGTTGCGTAGGCCCCTCTGCCCCTCTGCCTCCCTGTGTCCCTCAGGGTGCAGCCTCAACGCGTGCACATGCCCCAGTCACAGCCTTCTGGGCTCAGTGGTCACGCCATCCGGCCGACCGCTCTCAGGGGCCAGGGTCTACCTAAGAGACTGGCCTGGCACTGTGACCACCAGTGATGCCTATGGAACCTTCCGGATGCCTGGAGTCTGTGCCAGCAGCCGGACCAATGTCAGCGCTCAAATGGACGGCTTCTCTGCTGGTGTGGCCCAGGCCCAGGCCAACAGCTCCACATCTGCTGTGGTCACTATTGTTCTCCATAAGCTGGGTAAGTGCCTTGTTGCAAAGGGGATGAGGAGGCCTAGGAACTGGGAAGGAAATTCTGGGCGACACCAAGCACTTGGGGTTGGGGCGATGTGAGAGAGAGCGAGGTGACCGGGGGAAGAAATGAGATGTGATGTAGTCGCGGAAGGCCCAAGGTTAGACATGGAGTTGCAGAGGGAAGCATTAAGATGGGGCATCATCTTGAGCAGATGTGGGGTGAACTTGAGCCGGAAGAATAGGGTGTCCTTGGGAAGACGAGGAAGGGCCCTGCTCTTGGGAAGGATCATTGGGAGAAGCCGGGATGGGGCCGTGCCCTGATCTTTACTGCCTTTGCCCTCAGAAAAGCCCTACCTGGTGAAGCACCCTGAGTCCCGAGTGCGAGAGGCGGGCCAGAATGTGACCTTCTGCTGCAAAGCCTCAGGCAACCCCATGCCCAAGAAATACTCCTGGTGAGTGCCCTGACCCCTGCTTAAGGGCCTTGTGCCAGCTCTGGGGTTGGATTGGATTTCTTGTGATACATGGTGTCTCTGAGACCTGGAGGGAAATGCTGTGTACCTCCCTAGCCTGCGTTCAGGGTGGGATGGCGACAGCCCCACCCCTGTGCCAAGGACCCTCGTGGTGTTGCCCACCCGCCACCCAGGTTCCACAATGGGACCCTGCTGGAAAAGCGAGAGCACAGGTATGGGGCCCACCTGGAGCTGCGGGGACTGCGCCCAGACCAGGCAGGCACTTACCACTGCAAAGCATCGAATGACGCGGGCTTTGTGCACTCGGGTTCCGCCAGGCTCATTGTGCTTGGTAAGCACCCTGCCACTTTCCTCCAGCACACCCTAACTCAACCCCAAGTAGAGCCTCAAAATCAGAATGATTTCAGACCTCGCTGAGTCTGATCCCAGGCCCCTACTGAGCCCCTGACCCCAGTTCAAGCCCCCACCCTTGGACTCAGATGGAGTCCTCCCCACTTTCCCTGACCTGGCTGATTTCTTGCTCCCTAGCCCCAGGACAGCCAGCCTGTGACCCCAAGCCTCGTGAGCACCTGATCAAACTCCCAGATGACTGCAGTCAGCCAGGCACTGGCCCTGCCTATCTGGATGTGGGTCTCTGCCCTGACACCCTCTGCCCCAGCCCTGCAGGCTCCAGCCCCAGGTGTGGGGACCCAGGCTCGCGTTGCTGCTCAGTGCGCCGCCTGGAAAGCAGGGAGATTCATTGCTCCAGCTATGTCCTTCCTGTCAAGGTGGTGGCTGAGTGTGGCTGCCAGAAATGCCTGCCCCCTCGAGGGCTGGTCCGGGGACGTGTGGTGGCCGCTGACTCAGGGGAGCCCCTGCGCTTTGCCCAGATCCTGCTGGGCAGCAAGCCCATTGGATTTACCTCCTACCAGGGCGATTTCACCATCGAGGTGCCGCCCTCTACCCAGCGGCTGGTGGTGACTTTCGTGGAACCCAGTGGTGATTTCATGGACACTGTCAGGGTCCTGCCTTTTGACCCTCGAGGTGCCGGTGTGTATCACGAGGTCAAGGCCATGCGGAAGAAAGCACCCGTCATCTTAGATGCCAGCCAGACCAACACGCTCCCCCTCGGGGAGCTGGAAGAAGAGCCCCCGTTGGGCCAACTGGTCTTCCCACCAGGAGCCTTCCGCAGAGCGGACGGGGAACCCTATTCTGGAGCTGTGGAGGCCCGTGTGACCTTTGTGGACCCCCGAGATCTCACCTCGGCGGCGGCTGCCCCCAGTGACCTGCGTTTTGTGGACAGTGATGGCGATTTGGCCCCACTGCGTACCTATGGCATGTTCGCGGTAGACCTCCGGGCCGCTGGCTCCATGGAGCAGCTGCAGGCCGGGCCCCTGGCGGTGCGTGTGGCCACTGGCCAGATCCGTATGGCGGGCCATGTGGAGGCCCTCAAGCTGTGGTCGCTGAACCCCGACACAGGTTTGTGGGAAGAGGAGAGCGGCTTCCATCGCGAGGAGTCAGCGGCCCCACGGGTCCGCCGGGAAGAGCGAGTCTTCCTGGTGGGCAATGTGGAGATCCGCGAGCGGCGGCTGTTCAATCTAGACGTGCCTGAGCGCCGCCGCTGTTTCGTGAAGGTGCGCGCCTACGCTAACGAGAAGTTCGCCCCTAGCGAGCAGGTAGAGGGCGTGGTGATCACGCTGGTTAACCTGGAGCCAGCTCCCGGCTACTCCGCCAATCCCCGCGCCTGGGGCCGGTTTGATAGTGCGGTTACAGGCCCCAACGGTGCCTGCCTTCCTGCCTTCTGCGATGCAGACCAGCCAGATGCCTACACAGCCCTGGTCACGGCCACCCTGGGTGGGGAGGAACTGGAGCCCGCCCCCTCCAGGCCTCGCCCTCTCCCGGCCACCGTGGGCGTGGCCCAGCCCTACTTGGCTAAGCTGGGGTACCGCCGCACTGACCATGACGACCCTGCGCTGAAACGAAACGGCTTCCGCATCAACCTCGCCAAACCCAGGCCTGGTGACTCCGCTGAAGTCAACGGCCCCATATACCCGTGGCGCAGCCTGCGGGAGTGCCAGGAGGCCCCGGTGACCGCCAGCCACTTCCGTTTCGCACGCATGGAGGTGGACAAGTACGAGTACAACGTTGTCCCATTCCGAGAGGGCGCGCCAGCCTCCTGGACTGGAGATCTCCTGGCCTGGTGGCCCAACCCACAGGAGTTCCGAGCCTGCTTCCTCAAGGTTAAGGTCCAAGGTCCGCAAGAGTACATGGTACGCTCCCACAACGTGGGGGGCAGCCACCCACGTACTCAGGGCCAACTCTATGGGCTGCGGGATGTCCGCAGCGTCCGAGACCCACAGCGCCCTGGAACGTCTGCTGCCTGTGTGGAGTTCAAGTGCAGTGGAATGCTGTTCGACCAGCGACAGGTGGACAGGACGCTGGTGACCATCATGCCCCAGGGCAGCTGTCGTCGTGTAGCGGTCAATGGGCTCCTCCGGGATTACTTGGCCCGGCATCCCCCACTTGCCGCAGCCGATGACCCGGCCACCTTTGCCATGCTGGCCCCACTGGACCCTCTGGGTCACAACTATGGTGTCTACACGGTCACTGACCAGAGCCCAAGGCTGGCCAAGGAGATTGCTATTGGCCGCTGCTTCGATGGCTCCTCTGACGGCTTCTCCAGAGAGATGAAGGCTGATGCGGGCACAGCTGTCACGTTCCAGTGCCGGGAGCCAGCGGCTGGCCGGCCCAGCCTCTTCCAGAGGCTGCTGGAGTCCCCGGGGAGAGCACTTGGAGACATCCGCAGGGAGATGAGCCAGGTGGCCCAGGCCCAGGCCCGAGCCCAGGGTCCCCTCCGTACCCGACGGGGCAGGGCCTGGCAGTGACCTGGGCCCCAGCTTCCCTCCTCTGCCTTGCTCTGGACTTCTCTGTCCCTGGGAAGTCTCACCCCCTTCTCCAGATGTCGCTTCCCCGCCACCTGCTCAGAATTCAGAGTCAAGTCCTGTGGTGGAAATGCCAGGCAGGCGATTATTGGTGTCTGACATTAAAGAGAGTCGAAGTCCATCCTGACTGTGGGAGCCAGCGTCTGGGGAGACCTCGCAGGCTGGAGGGAACGGCTCCCAGATCACCTGCCAGCTCTGATTTCAGTTGTATTTTGACCCTGATTTCAAATATTCTACCCCTTGGGATGTCTGACCTTTGGCCTAAAGCCCCCTGTGTGTCACTGAGCTGCTTTATCAGGTCCTCTGCCCCAGGCTTTGTTCTTGGGGTTATTTATTAAAACATAGCCTGTGGGATTGGTCACTGGGGTGAGTGGGGAGTCCAGACCCAGTGAAGGTCTGGGGACGGGTGTCTTGGTTCTGGGGCTGTGGGCACATTCTCATCTTTGGTGCTTGGACACCCTCAGGGGGTCAGGGCAGGGAATCAATTAAAGATGCTTCATTTCCACCCTGTGGTGTCAGTCTTGAGGAGCAAAGGATGAAGGCTGAGGCTGCCAGACACAGACATACCTTGGTGGCAGAGGCAGGCCCCAACACAGAAGGACATTCACATGCAGACAGGGGCCCCCACAAGGCCGAGGATGTGCCTCTTGCAGGCCTGTCGGCCCTCCACCCCTGCCCTGGCTGAGGCTCGCAGAAGTGTGTCTGTGACACGTGTGTGCAGCCCTGACGGCCGAACACAGTAGTAGCGGCTGCCCTGGCCTCCTCAGGGCCTGGCTGTGGCAGTGCCTGGCAGCGTTCCTGGGACTGCAGTGGGCAGGGAGGGGCCCTGACAGGGTTGCATGTCCCAGGTAGCTGGAATTGAGGCCACGGTGGGCTGCCTAAGTGGAGACCATAGCTGTCCCACCGCAGGGCCCACCACACCTTGGCCAAGTGGTCCTTGGGCTGTCTCAAGCCACATCTTGGACCCTCTGACCTCACTGAGACCCTCAGTCTGGAGGCAGCAGAACCACCAATTGCTCTTGCTCTGTGCACATGGCTGAGTGAGTCCTCCTGGAACCGCACGGGCAGGCACTGTTCTGACCACACCCCCACTTTCCAGACAGAGAAGATGAGGCCCCAAAAGGAGAGGCAAAGGCCTGCCTGGACCCTGGAGTGATTCCTGGCAGGAAGCAGGGCTCCCTGGCGACCCAGCAACTCCCTGAGCGCGCGTATGAGGCTCCCTTGGCCTGGAGATGGTGGCCCCTGGGAGGCAGCGAAGTGGTGCTGCTGAGGAGCCGGCGTGGGAGGCACTGTGCCGGGTTGATCGCCCTGGGGAAGCAGTGAGAGAAAGGAACCCAGGGTGTGCTTGGGCCTTCTGCACACCCACCTACCCACTTCCCCTTCTATCACCCACCCCTTCACTCAGCCACCTGCCTGCTCGCACCCCATCCCGACCACCCCACCATCTGCCTGTCCAGTGTGTACAGGTGTCAGACCTTCGTACACACTCAGGGCTTGGAGAGGGCCCAGCCTGGACGGGCGATGAGCTCACACACAGACGCAGCACAGCCTGCCAGCTCTTCTCTCCGACAACTACTTCGAACCTTTGCTTAGGCCATTCCCTTTTCGGGAGCAACTTCCCCTACCTAGGCAGTGGACACGGGGGCCTGGAGTGTCAGGGGCAAGAAGGCAAATGCCTGTCATCAGCCACAGTCCCTGAGGGTGGGCCCTGAGGCTTTGCTGGAGTCAAGATTTGGGAGGCACCCCAGCTCGGGTGCTGGGACCCCAGACTTGTCCTGGACAGGCTGTGACAGACAAGAAAGGAGAGCTGCTTTGAGGCCCCTCAGGAGCCAGGAGACATGCATTTATCTGGACCTTACTGGGTCTGTACCCCCAGCTGACAGGGAGGCTCAGAGGGGCAGTCCCCCTGCCCAAGGCAACTGAATCCAAAGCCTGCCTGCCCTGAAGCCCTGCTCAGGGCTGCCTTCAGGGTCCTGGGGGGCAGCCTCCTCATGCAGCCTGCAGGAGAAGCTGGTGTTCACACCAAGGGTAATGAGGTCTTAGGCTTCACAGAGAAAAGGGGTTTGAACTATGGCCTATTCCAGACTGAGGCAGATAGGTTTGGGGTAGACACCTGGTCTCCCTTCCCTGGGGTGAAGCAGGAGAGGGTGGGCATTATCCTGAAGACCCCTCCCCAGCTGCCATGGCTGGGCCAGGAGTAAGCAAGGGCTCCTGGAGGGAAGTGGCCCAGGGAGGGCATTCCAGGAGGAGGGCCCAGCCCAAGCGAATGGTGGACACTGGGCAGAAACTGTAGCCCCATCCCGCTGACGATTCTTCAAGAGGGCAGCCCCTGGCCCCAGCTTCCAGATGAGAAAACTGAGGCTCCAAGACAAAGAGGCCTGCCCTCTTGAGCTGTCAGCCCTGTGCCTCTTGACCCTGCCTTGTGACCCCCTTCTGGCAGCTGAGCCAGGAGTCCCCCCACCGGAAAGTTGGCCGTCAGCCTCCTGGCAAACCCAGTGCTCTCCCCACAGCTGGGGCCGCCAGACCATACCCCTTGGCCTGGGGGGAGAGGGAGGCATGAGGCCCCCCCAAACCCAGGCTCCTGAGCCACTCTGGGGTCAGCTCAGGGCACAAGGAGGCCCTTGGGCCCGCCCACAGCATTTTAGACTTTATAATTTTAGAACCAGGGGTTCTTAAAATTCCTAGCACCGTGAGTTGGAGAAAAATCCTGGAACAATGCTTAAAACAAGAGAGTCTTAAAATCGCAGAATCCAAGAAGAGGAGGATGGAAATGAACATGCATCGAGCAGCGACTGGATGCCAGCTCTCCCTGCCCCCCCAAGTCCTAACTCACGTTTTGGGCATCTAATGTTTATTTACTGTTTTGGGGCTCAAAACAGGCTTTTAGGGAGTGTGATGTTCACACCCCCATTTCACAGCCAAAGGGGCGCGCCCAGGGTGACACAGCAAATAGAGACACTGTGCGCTGGGAGGAAGGGCGATGTTTCCCAGAGAAGGGAATACAGGCTCCGGGTCCTGAAGAACGTGTTGGGCTTTGCCAGGTGGCAAAGTGGGAAGTGCATTCCAGGTAGCCGGAATGGCAAATGTGGGGCCTGGGGAGTGGGGGCAGCAAGGAGAGCAGCGGGGGTGGGGAACCTCGGGAGGCAAACACGGCTTTGAATGCTGAGTGGCCTCTGGAGAGTGATTGCAAGCTACAGGAGGTGTCAGAGCAGGGGAAGTCTGCACAGTTTCCCATAACAGAGACTCTCCTGGAGTGGTTGCCGCATGCAGCTTGCTGCAGTGTTTACCTTATGGAACTGGGGTCTGCCCCCTCCCACGTGGCAGCCCTTGCAGGGTCCAAACCCTGCAGCCCAGCAACCCCTCCCCTCCTGCCGCCTGTCCTGGCTGAACATCGCTGGCTTCTCCTTCAGGGCCTCGTGGGCCTGGCGTGGGCCCCCACCGCTTCCCTGGCCCTGTCTGTCTCTCTCATCAGCCCTCAGAGTTGGGTATGGCCCAGCCTCAGACCCCAAAGACTGGAGCCAGCCTGGCGGGGAGACCTGGCTGCAGTCGGGTCGGGGGAATGCTTGGTGTTAATGGTGGAAACAGAGGCAGGGTGACAGCAGAGAAAGCAACAGTCCTGAGCCCCCCAGGGCAGCAGCTGAGGCTAGACCCCAGGGCCTGGGGTGGGGGTCGATGCAGGCGGGACAGAGGGGGCTCAGGGATGAGGTGGCAGCAGACACAGACATTTTGGGGTGGATGTGGGGCAACATACACTACCCTGCCCAGAGTCACTACCACCCTGCAGCACAGTGCATATGGCACATGGAGCCAGGCGCCTTGCCATCACTCCCGAGGTCACACTGTCCCTGTCCTCCCCAGTCAGACACTCCCTCACACACCATCTTGTCAGCTACACTGCCACTCTCAGTGGAAGCCCCACATGCAGTCACCCTGCCCAAGGTGCACGTGACTCGACTTGCCCAGTGCGCTGGACACACGGGCCCACTGGACGCTGTCCTGGCTGCCCAAGCAGACGCACCCCGGCAGGCAGGCATCGTGTGCTGGCACAGAGCATCCACACACCCACAGTCTTTCTGTGTTCTGCCCACATCTGAGGGCCCTCTGACTCCCAGATGCCCAGGGTACCCTGGTAAGGGCCATTCTAGCCCCCCCATTCAGTCCCTCCCTGCACACTGGGCCACAGCCAGGGGCATTCAAACTTCCTACCCTCTCAGGGCCCTGGGGACAGCAGGGGTTGGGGCCGGGGGGCGGGTGTGCAAGGTCCCGGCAGCTTTTCCTGGGAAGCCCTGATTCTCTTCCTGCTGATTCAGCCCTGGGGGCCGGCCAACGGGTGCAGCCAAACCTCAGGTATGTCCTTGAAGGCTGTCTGCGGGGCCTCCACCAGGCGGGGGCGGGTGGAGCTCCCACTCAGGACTTAGTCTTCCCTGGGCCCCGCCAACCCCTATCCTGGCCCCAGATGGAGCTTGAGATTTAATGGTGGAGGCTGAGGCCGGCGGCTCACACCCACAGTTCTTCCTGGCTGAGCCAGGTTCCTTCACAAAGGGGCCCTGCGCAGCCCACCCTCCTAAAGACACCACTCTCTCAGGCAGTCAGGGGGTTGGCCTGACTGCCCATCCCGGGGCCCGGCACTGGAACAGGGACAGGCGGGCGCACACGCACAGATGTGTACACATGTGCTCCCATGTGATGGCTACCTGCAGACCCATGGGCACGTGTGTGCCTGATGCGTGGTTCTGAACTGGCCCTCACAGAGCCTTATGCCAAAGAGCAGGACAGAGCCGCCTCAGCGGGGCGGGGGGGGGGGGCTGTCAGGGTTGGGCCCGAGGGCGGCCCAGGGGATGGGAGAGCCCAGAGGAGGGTGCAGGGAAGGCCTTCTGCAGGAGAAGGCATTTGATACGGGTTTCGAAGGATAAAGAGGAATTTGCCAAACCAAAGTCAGATGTCCAAAGGTCTGCACTGCTGGTGTTGGAGTTTACCTTTTGTCTGTGAGAATTTTAGGCAGGGAAGGGACACAGTCAAACAAACCCTGATTTATTCCCACCCCTTGAGGACCAGCCTCTGCCCTCCGGGCTCCCAGTCAGCTAGGGAGGCAGAGCTAGAGCAGCCAGGAGGGACAGAAGAAGGTTTGTGAAGCACCGGCTTGTGCCCTGGGTCATATTCTATCAATAACCTTTTACAGCAGGTTCCATCACCACCCTCTCTGACAGCTGAGGAAACCAGGGTTAAGAGAGGAAAGTACCTTGCCTAGGATCTCACAGGGAGGGCCACACATAACCCAGGCCTCTGACTTGCAACTGTGGCTGCTGACCAGGTCTTAAATTGACCCTAAAGTTTGAAGGACAGAA